TGACTGCAGAGTCACCCCTGAATGGCCATAAAATGGCCATAAATCTATGCAGGCGGCTACCATAAAACCAAGAGATCAAAGGAAGTGAAATCGGCATGCAGTCTGGAGACTGCCGTGAAACCCGACAATCAATCAAAGTGAAAGTGGCATGTGATGTTGAGGGGAATTTCTGTTCCAGCCTGCGTTCGGTAAAACAGCGGAGCAAATGCTAGATGCGGATTGGGCCATAGAAATAGCTGGATTAGGAAGTTCTCCTCTCCTCCTCAGCCCAGTTCTGTTTTGGAATTTTGACTCACCTGACATCATTTCTCTGCTGTCATTGGCTGCAGCCTCTTGGCAGCGATGTAAAAGGGGGGGTGAGAAGAATCCTGCTGATAGGCTGGTGTCTTGGTTGCTCCTTCGTTCATGTTAGTGTCCCTGCCACAAGTTTTGTTAGTCCTTAAGGTGGTACTGGGCGCTTGCTCTTTTTGCATTCTGTGTCCCTGCTGCTGGGATTTAATCTAGCGATAGCCAGGAATAAATTTCCAATTTAGTAAATGGCTGAATATAATCTTCTTTTTCCTGCCCTAATACAAGAGATGAAGTTGATAGAATGCCATACAACCTGTTGGGAAAAATAGGCAAAATACTTAGATATTCAGAGTTTGCAATGGATCTTTGCTTCACTGGAGAGGAGACATTTCTTGCTGTGTAAAAATCTTTATTTCTAAGGGAAGGGTTCACTGGGAGACTACAAAATAACAAAGAGATGTAATGTATTCAATAAGCTGCCATTGAATGCATAATGTGTGATGAAAACATCTAATTGAAATGTCATGTTAAGCTTCGTCCTGGGCTAGGATCCAAATCCATCCAATCGCATTGATAGCCCAGGAAGAACCAACCAATCACTTGTCAGCAAGCTCCCTGAGCGGGAACGTCCGTGATTGGTCCTTATGCATACAACCTTATTGGTTGGTCAATGTACAGTAGGCGTGGCTACATTAGCCGGGAGAGTTTAAAAGCAGGACAGCTGCAATGTAAAAGCTGTTCTGGCTATCAGATGTTGATCCGTGTTGGAGTTGTGTTCGAGTGGAAGAATGAAGCTGTATCTTTGCTGAATCACTCTCCGACTACTTTGTTAAGTGAGCGACTTAACAGATATCTAGAGCTATGTCTTTGGATCCTTACAGCACAGAACACATGGTCACACAACAATGGAGTAACGAGCCTGTACTGTCGTGGGGGCAGAGTAGGGTTGCCAACTCTGGGGTAGGAAATTCCTGGAGATTTGGGGGTACAGCCTGGGGAGGGCAGGATGTGGGGTGAGGGGGAACCTCAGCAGAGTCCCCTACAATTGAGCCACTTTCTGGCGATCAGTTGTGATTCTGGGAAATCTCCAGGCGACCCTACCTGAACAGCTTCCAGAATTACAGACTGCAGAGATAAATTCCCCTGGAGGAAATGGCAGCTTTGGAGGCCAGACACTAGGGCATCAATACCCCAGTGAGATCCATCCCCTTCCCAAGCCCCACCCCTCCCCAGTGTCTGAAAAATGTGGCTGAACTCTTGCAGGTACATTTAGAAACCTCTACTGTGGTTTGTGGCAGCCTGGTTTTGCGACTTTTGTGATTTACACAGGTTACCCGCTTTATTGTTCCATGCAGTAGCAGCAGCAGCAGTAGTAGCAGAAGCAATGGGAGCAGTAGTAGTTGTAGTAACCATAACAAACAAGGAAACAATGCTACTTGCACACTTTTCCTTATATTTCTGTAAATAAAAGGATCAGAGACTTAAGCCAGGGGTCATTTCCTGCAGGAGCACAGGAGTGGAGCTCCGGCAGTAAAGAGCCCAGGGGGCGGGCACATGCAACAAGCCCCACCCCCTGCTCCCAGCAGCCCTCAGTCAGAGCAAGAAACAGCCAAGTAAGTTGCAGAGCCTGGCCCACTGGTCCAAAACAGTCTAGTGGCACCTTTAAGACCAAGTTTTATTCAGGTACAAGCTCTCCCTCCTCTGCGAGGACAGATCTGCACGTTCCCCCCCCCCAATAGCTAGCAATCCAAAACAGTCCAGTGGCGCCTGAGCGGTGGGTGTTGCCTTCTGACAAACTTCCGGTGATGTCAGGGGGTGTGGCATATGCAAATGAGTTATGCTAATGAGCTCCTGCACCTCTTTTTCTACGAAATGACCCCTGCTTAAGCCTGACCTACACTACTGGCTTAACTAGTTTAACAGTCCTTCTGTCTTTCCAGGGAGCTCTGGGAACTGTAGTTCTATGAAAGAGACTAAGCATCTCTAGCAGAGAATCCTAGCACTCCCAGCAAAATATAATTCCCAGGAGTAGGGCTGCCAAGTCTCGTTGAATCGCGGCGGGGGATCGTCATTCTTTACAGGAGCTCTGCCGCGGGGAATGGCAACAGGCGTTGCACCGCCGTCGCCAGGATGTGACGCTATGCGTCGCTCTGGCAACGGGACTCCAAACAGCCCCGTTGCCAGAGTGACGCGTAGCGTGACATCCTGGCGACGGCGGTGCAACGCCTGTTGCCGTCCCCCGCGGCAGAGCTCCTGTAAAGAATGACGATCCCCCGCCGCGATTCAACGAGACTTGGCAGCCCTACCCAGGAGTCTTTGAGGGAAGCTGTCACAGTTAAGCTGATATCAGTTTGTAGTGCAGAAGTACTGTTCATTTTGTTTAAAGTAAAGCTGCAAATTCAGGGAAGGGGCCTGAAATATCTTTTGAGGGAGCCGGACCGAGTTTCCTCTGTGGCTGTGACCCTGGCTGAACAAGACCATTGAGCTAAATTAGAGCTGTATGCTTTAATTAGTTTAACTAGTTGGGCCTCCCTTAATCAGGAAGGGCATATTTCAATCAGTGTTGTTGTGTGTTCAGGGCACATTTTCTAATTTGTGAGGCTCTTTGGTCTCCAGTATGTTACTGTGAATGAAAATGTAAAAAGAGAGAGAGAGAGAGAGAATAAAGGTGGCCTTTCCTTACAGGAAGTGATCTTTTGATAATTTAATTCAAATTACCTGACTCTTGCTTTGGTATGTCAGAACTTAGGCTTTCCTGGAGTCTGTTTAGTATGCATCAAGTAAAAGTGATACATTATTTAATCTTTTCAAAGGAAGGTGTTGTATTGCTAAGCACAAAAAAACTTTTTGGTTTACCAGCCCAAAATGAATGGGTCTTATGCAGAGGAGTTTCCGATGGACTAGGACCTTAGCTTGGTTCTTTTTTCCCCTGTGTTATAGAAAGTAGATTCTTTGGCTACAGTTTATAGGTTAGCGTGTTCAGCTCATATGAACAATCAATAACACAGCACACTTTGAGGTAGGGTTGTTAGCTCCAGGTTGGGAAATTCCTGGAGATTTGGGGGTGGAGCCTGGGGAGGGCGGGGTTTGGGGAGGGAAGGGACCTCAACAGGGTACAATGCCATAGACTCCACCCTCTCAAGCAGCCATTTTCTCCAGGAGAACTAATGTCCATAGTCTGGAGATCGGTTGTGATTCTGGGAGAACTTCAGGCTCCCCCTAGAACAGTGATGGCGAACCTTTTAGAGACCGCGTGCCCAAACTGCGACCCAAAACCCACTTATTTATCGCAAAGTGCCAACACGGCAATTTAACCTGAATACTGAGGTTTTAGTTTAGAAAAAAACAACTCATACATTAACTTAAGATGATGCAAACAAAGTAAGGAAAGCAATTGCAAATGCTTTCATTTACTTAAAATTATTTGGCAGAGAATTCGACTCTTTAATGATGGTCTGGGCCTGGCTGGGGCAATGGCACGCGTGCCCACAGAGAGGGCTCTGAGTGCCACCTCTGGCACCCGTGCCATAGGTTTGCCACCACTGCCCTAGAAGATATATGTAACAAGAGAGAAAGTCACGAAACAAAATTTAACATCAAAGAAGCAAAAGCAGTCATGACCAAATTACTAATGTTTCAATTACACTCAATAAATTTCAAATCTGCATAATTCATGCACAAAATTGGCCAACACAGAGGAGGAACTAACAGGACATCATAGATGTGTTAGAGTCCCGACCCTGAGGAAACTAGGAGTGAAACGGGTGTTCCAAGTCCCATCACCGGGACCATTGATTTTTCTACTGAATGGTTGATGGGATATGAATTTTTGAAAATGATACCCAAATTGTCTGAAGAATATTGTTCACTGAAATTGCGATACGTTATTTTCTTTTGGGACTTTTCCAGTATGTGCCGGCATACCTTTGGATTAGGACAAGAATGTGATTATGTGACTTTATAAAAGCCAATCTTGTGCATGAATTATTCAGATTTGAAATTTGTTGAGTGTAATTGAAACAACCTTAGTAATTTGGTCACAACTGCTTTTGCTTCTTTGATGTTCCAACTAGAAGATGGCAACCTAATGTTGACACTCTCTTTGCTGCCTAACCATCGAAATGTAATTTTTCAGAAAAGTTAGTAATGTACTTCATCAAGCTCTGCCATATTTAATACCAGTTTTCATGAGAACCAAAAAAGAGCACAGAATGGTTTTGTAGATATTTTCTTTTTTCCGGTTAAATTTTTTATTTTGAAAAAAAAAAGTGGGATACAAAAGGGAAAAAGGGTAAGGAAAAGTGTAAATTCATCAAAAGTTATCAGATATCATGAATAGTTGCATACAAGTAGTTGCATACAAGTAGTATTAATAAAAATACATTGTTCAAATATAGAAGCAGCAAATAAAACATCATTATTACAGTATTCAGGAATAGATTATCTCTTTGAATTAAGAAGCAAATATTTCCGAATATTCAGCGATAATCTTTTTAAAAAATGAGATTATATCTTTAGCAATTAAACAAAGTTTTGTAGATATTTTCAACATTTTTAAAATCTGCCTCTCCAGATGTTGAGTCATTTGACCTGTCTCTGTAGCTATGACAGCTTTAAGATGGATAACCATTTGAGATAATAGTGAGTTTTTCTTTTTTTGACCCCCTTTCCTTTAGTGATTTCCCATTTCATGACCATCTCTCTTCTAGATCTTCCAAAACAGACAACCTAGAAGTCTTGCCGTTGGCTCACTGCAATCGCTCATTAAGGGAGTCTGCAAAGAAGACTCTTCGTTCTTCAGCAGTGCAAACATGTTCATTGACATGCCTCGAATCACTGAAATCCTGGAGGAGGATATGGCGAAATTCAGCATCCCCGAAGACTCAAGTAAGGGCTGTGGGAATAATTTGTATGTGGATGCATTGGTTTCAATTCAATTCAATTCAATTTATTACAGATGTTGAGTCATTTGACCTGTCTCTGTAGCTATGACAGCTTTAAGATGGATAACCATTTGAGAGAATAGTGAGTTTTTCTTTTTTTTGACCCCCTTTCCTTTAGTGATTTTCCCATTTCATGACCATCTCTCTTCTAGATCTTCCAAAACAGACAACCTAGAAGTCTTGCCGTTGGCTCACTGCAATCACTCATTAAGGGAGTCTGCAAAGAAGACTCTTCGTTCTTCAGCAGTGCAAACATGTTCATTGACATGCCTCGAATCACTGAAGTTCTGGAGGAGGATATGGCGAAATTCAGCATCCCTGAAGACTCAAGTAAGGGCTGTAGGAATAATTTGTATGTGGATGTCTTGGTTTCTATACTTTGTGTTTAGAGCGAAATTTCAGATTTAGCCTTACGCATTGAAGATCCAATATGGTTTCTCCTTCCTCCTCTTCCGTAAACAACAAGTTTGGCAGCTGCTGTCACAAGGTCAGCTTCCCTATAGGGGGAGAGAGAACTGGGGACTTACAGTGCAATCCTAAACAGCTAACATACTTCTAAATTCATTGAAATCAATAAACTGAGAAGGGGGTGGCTCTGTTTAGGATTACACTGCTAAGGTGCTTTTGTAACTTTTTAACAAAGTAAGTAAATTAAGGAGGGAACAGGCATGGACACTTGTAAATATTTGTTTTAAAAGAGTATAAATCCTTCCCCCCCCCCCCACACACACACAAGCAAGCATTTCCTCCCAACTACTTTTTGCTGGCTACCTGTGAAGATTACAGTGCCATCCTAACCTGAGTTATGGCCTTCCATTGAAATTGGTGGTCTTAGAAGGGTGTAAAACTACTTCGGATGGCATGGTTCATCTATTTTGTGGGCTACATCCCAACTGCCCAAATGTTTTTGGCCCCCTCCCATCAGGTTGGATATTCTGTAGCTAGTGGCTTCCAGCAATTAGAGGTCATTAGGCGGTTTGATGTAGTGGTTAGGAGCGCGGACTCTAATCTGGGAGAACCGGATTTGAGTCCCCACTCCTCCACATGCAGCTGCCAGTGTGACCTTGGGCAAGCCATAGTTCTGACACAGCTGTCCTTGAAAAAGAGCAGTTTCTGTCAAGAGCTCTCTCAGCCCCACCTACCTCACAGGGTGTCTGTTGTGGGGAGGGGAAGGGAAAGGAGATTGGGTAGTGAAGGACAGGGTACAAATCCAATCTCTTCCTCCTCTTCTTCTTCTCTTCCTGTGTCCCAAACACATGAAGCCGCCTTATACTGAGTTGGACCCTTGGTCTACTAAGGTCAGTACTGTCTCCTCTGACTGGTAACATCTCTCCAGGGTTTCAATCAAAAGTCTTCTACATCACCTACTATTGGATCCTTTTAACTGCCAGTGCCAGGAGGTGAACTTGAGACCCTCTGCATGCAAAGCAGACACAATATCCCGCCCACACTATTTTGAAACCTTGAGGAAAATAGAGATAATTCAGAAAATTCCTTGTAAGAGAGCAGGTTCAGACTGCTGTTATAGTCTCCTGTAGACTATGGAGACTGATTCACACATTATGGAGTACACAGATCAGGTTGAGGGTCCCCACACGGTGTAACAGTCAGATGTGAGTGGTAGGTTCTTCTCAGTTTTCACAGGTGTGGTGCTTGATTTGAATCGGAACTCGGGCACACATGGAGAAGAATTTTTTGCCCTCTTCCTCACACCATTCTCCTGACCTGAAGCGGCCGAGGGTCAGTTGTCCTGTCGGGGAGTCCCAGAGAACACAAAGGTTGCCCCAAGAGGCCAAACAGAGGCCCAACTCCTTCAGCTTGAGACGACAGTGCTGGGGGAAGGCTGAATCGTCTTCTCCACACACACCATGGTCCCAGGCTAAGTTGGAGCACCATATGTGGGTCTGAGATCCTAAACTGTGCAGATTTCTGAGTAATTTATTCCCAGTACTATCAGCCACTGAGGCAATTGGCTTTTTATAGGAGTTGTATGCTTTATATAGGAGCTGTGGTGGCTCAAGTGGTTAAGACGCTGAACTGCAGGCTGTGGAAGGTCAGTAGTTCAGCAGTTCGAGACCCGAGTGTGCCGCATGACAGAGTGAGCTCCCGTCTCTAGTTCCAGCTCCTGCCAACCTAGCAGTTTGAAAGCAAGAAATTGCAAGTAGATAAATAGGTACCGCTTCGGTGGGAAGGTAACAGCGTTCCGCGCGCCTTGGTGTTTAGTCATGCCGGCCACATGACCACAGAAACGTCTTCAGACAGCGCTGGCTCTTCAGCTTTGAAACGGAGATGAGCACCGCAACCCTAGAGTCGGACTCGACTGGCTTTCGAGCAAGGGAACCTTTACCTTTACTTTTTATGCTTTATATGTTTTAACATGGTTTTAATTGTATTGTATTGATATTGTTGTACTATATTTATATTGTTGGAACCTACCCTGAGCCCGTTAAGGAGAGGGTGGGATAAAAATCTAATAAATAAATAAATGTGGACGAACTGCGGACAGCCTGCTACTCACATCTCACACTGCTATGCAGGGTGGGTGGTGCCAGGCCAACTTGTGTACTCCATAATTTGTGAATTGGCCAACATGAGGTCTCCTCTGTTCCTCTACAAATTCTTTGCAGATGTATTAGATAAGAACGCCTGACGACTGAAAGCATTGACAAGACTCCTTTATCTGTTTTTCCAAATGTAGCCCAATTATGATGATGCATTTACAGAGAGCACTTTTAATGAGCAGAGTCCTTTACGATCTTTCTCACTTGATCCCCCAACAAGTCAGTATTGTGATTTATTCCCGTTTGCTAGATGAATATTACAGAGAACAACTGTCCAAACCACAGTGTATTACGCTGACAAGTTTTCTTGGTTTTGGTTAATTTTTTAGATTCCCAAAATGTTCACCAGTCCTTATAGGCCATGCTAAAAGCCACCCAGGGAGCTGCGGTGGCTCAAGTGGTTAAGACGCTGAACTGCAGGCTGTGGAAGGTCAGTAGTTCAGCAGTTCGAGACCCGGGTGCCGCAAGACGGGGTGAGCTCCTGTCTCTAGTTCCAGCTCCTGCCAACCTAGCAGTTCGAAATCAAGAAATTGCAAGTAGATAAATAGGTACCGCTTCGGTGGGAAGGTAACAGCGTTCCGTGCGCCTTGGTGTTTAGTCATGCCGGCCACATGACCACAGAAACGTCTTCGGACAGCGCTGGCTCTTCGGCTTTGAAACGGAGATGAGCACCGCAACCCTAGAGTCGGACTCGACTGGCTTTTGAGCAAGGGAAACCTTTACTTTTACTTAAAAGCCACCCAGTTGCTAAATACTTCTTTTCACGTGCGTGTTTTTAAAATGTGGGTCTTTGTTTGTTTGTTTGTTTGTTACTGCAGCACAGTTTTGCTTGCAGCTCTATCAGGAAATTTTACAGTCTCCTAATGGGGCTTTGATCTGGACATTCCTCAAGCCACTGTTACATGGAAGGATACTGTATACTCCCAATACAAAGAATATTAACTTGGTGATGCAAAAGGTAAGGACACCTGCAGAATAGTGATTCTCATGTTTCTAAATGCATCCATGTACATAAGTGCCGTCCAATTGCAGCCAACTGGCGACCCCAGCAAGGGCTTGCAAGGCAAATGAGAAGCAGAGATGGTTTGCCTTTGCCTTCCTCTGCACTGCAGAGTCTTCCTGGTGGTCTCCCATCCAAGACCTATGGTGACCCCAGCAAGGGGATTCTAAAGCAAGTGAGAAGCAGAAGTAGCTTGCCAGTACCTTCCTCTGCAGAGTCTTCATTGGTGGTCTCCCATCCAAGTACTGACCATGCTTAGCTTCTGGGATCCAACATGATTGGGCTATACCATGTTGCCTTCCCGATGTCTGAGTGCATCTCCTCCACTAGTCTTATTGGTCTGTGTGCATATTGTATTTATTTATTTATTTTTAAGTGACAACTATGTTGTGTCCCTTGTTGTGCCCTTCCCTCAGTTGTTGGAAGTCCTGGGGCAATTTGGCCACCTCCCCTGCCCCTCGAAACCCTTTTTAACCAATCAGCTGGCGAACCCAGGCTTCTGTCTCCTCACTAGTTGCCTCCAAACAGGCAAACTGTTCCTCTCCTGCTCCCACTATAGCAAGTGGGTTGTGTCCGTCAGCCAGTTGCCGCTAGCTTTCAAACGATAATTGTGTGGGCATCCAAGCAAGCATCTTCCTTTGTCAATACCTTTTTTTCACAAAGGATTTTAGCTATAAGCTCAAGCACTGCCTTACTTGATAGCTGAACAAAGTTTCAGTCCAGTGGCACCTTTAAGACCAACCAGGGCTATTTTTGGGCAGGAACGCACAGGAACGGAGTTACGGCTGGCTCCCGAGTTGGCCACGCCCAGCAGGAACTCATTAGCATAATAGGCCACACCCAACAGCAGGAACGCATTAGGATTGGCTACATTAGGGGTGTGTGGCCTAACATGCAAAGGAGTTCCTGCTACAAAAAAGGCCCTGGGTTTTGACAACAAACAAGGTAAACAGAATAACAAGCAAAAGGTGGGTGTGGCTGGATAACCACACTTCTGGTAACATGGGGGTGCGGCCTAATGTGCTAATGAGCTGTGCTGTCAGGGGTGTGGCCTAATAGGCTAATGAGTCTCTGTTGTTGGGTGTGGCCTATTATGCTAATGAGTTCCTGCTCGGCTTTTTCTACAAAAAGAGCCCTGAACCAACAAAGTTTTATTCAAGGTACAGTGTGCTTGCACATGAAAGCTCATATCCAGAATTCAACTTTGTTCGTCTTCAAGGTGCCCCTGGACTCAAACTTTGTTCTGCTGCTTCAGACCAATATGGCTCTACCCACCTGAATCTTAATAGTTCTAACATTAAATTAAGATTGCCAAGTCTGGATTGGAAAATGCCTGTGTGCTTGGGGAGGGGCTTCAGCAGGGTACAGGACCATAGAGTCCACCCTCCAAAGCGTCCATTTTTGTCAAAGACTGGGATGGAACCACCATATGCAAAGGATGTTCATGCCAGAATGCCACTTGTTTGGGCTTCGTAGTGACGGCAGCTGCACCCTTTGTGCGATGTTTTGTTGGTTTCTCCAAAACACCTGGTGAGACACTGTGGAAAACAGAACGCTGGAAGAGATGGATGCCAAAGTCAGAGTTTACCTAGGGCCAGGGCTATTTTTGGGCAGGAACGCACAGAAACGGAGTTCCGGCTGGCTCCCAAGTAGGCCACACCCAGCAGGAACTCATTAGCATAACAGGCCACCCCCAACAGCAGAAACTCATTAGGATTGGCTACATTAGGGGTGTGTGGCCTAACAGGCAAAGGAGTTCCTGCCAAAAAAAAAGGCCCTGGGTTTTGACAACAAACAAGGTAAACAGAATAAGAAGCAAAAGGTGGGTGTGGCTGGATAATCACACTTCTGGTAACATGGGGGTGCGGCCTAATGTGCTAATGAGCTGTGCTGTCAGGGGTGTGGCCTAATAGGCTAATGAGTCTCTGTTGTTGGGTGTGGCCTATTATGCTAATGAGTTCCTGCTCGGCTTTTTCTACAAAAAGAGCCCTGCCTAGGGCACCAAAAAACCTTGGGCCAACCTTGAATGGGTCACCATAACAAGTAGATTTGGACTTGTGGGTCACTATACCAAAAAGGTTCGGAACCGCTGATGTAGAGAAGGTGTAGAGAATGGTATTTGTGTGTGGAGAAGCTCTTATGTGCGTCTGATTCTCCGATCCTCTGTGCATTTGCTATTTAATTTTGGAGCTGATATCCAGGGAAACAAAACTTTTTGGGGTCAAAATTTCGTGAGCTTTTGTGACATTCTTACTTCTATTTTGTTTTTTTGACACACCAAAGTGCCAATTAAATGGTGAACAATGGAAGTACTTGATGTTTTTCAATTAATTTCTGGCGAGGGAGGGAGTCTGCCCTGCTTCCTGCATGAAAGCTTTGAACAAAGACCTTAGCTGTGCTGACAGATTGTTTCTCTACTCAGTCATCTTAGTGGAGTTGAATGAGTTTTAAAACTTTGGAATGATAAAAGGATGTAACTCTTCATTTGTAGAGCTACCAACTCTCAGAGCTGTAACAGTTGAGACAGATGGCTTTTTTAAAAAGAGAGAGAGAGAGAGAGAGAGAAATGGAACCCCCTGTGTACAAAATTACATTCTCTGAAAGAGTGATGCTTGGAATAATGTGCTGCAGACATTTCCCCCCAGATTATTTTGTCAATTAGCATGCTCAGATCACTACCTTAAAAGGAACGATGGCAAGAAAGATAAATCTTTAAAAAGAAGTTCGGCCCTATGAGAATTATTGATGCATATATATTTATTATATTTGGACAAAACGATTCCATTGCATCGGTCACACTGAATTTTTTTAAAATACACCCTAAGATCTGTGAGCTATGAAAACTTCAAAACTGACAATTTTCCCACCCAACAATAGCTTTAAATGTTCTTGATAGCCCAGTGTAGTCATGTAGCATTTTTTAATCATGTAGGTATAATATATATATGTATACTATGAGAATGGCCCGTTGCGGAAATGAATGAAACGAGCTCTAGGAAGAGGGCCTGGGTGAGTGCGGTGTCCTGCAGCAGTCACCGGTTGTCCCCTCCAGCCCACCTCACATCCCACCTGCCCACCCAGCAGGTGCTTGTCCCCAAGAGGCCAGTGGTAGGCCACGGGGAAGTGAAATCTGGGTGGTGGGTGGCGGGATGTATTTTCGAGACGTTGGCAGGCAGTCCATGAAGGGGCAGAGGCTCTGGGAGCCTTCTCCTGCTCACCCACTGGCGGGTAGGCAGGAGAAGCAATTGGGAGGCTTTTAAATGCCTCCCCGCTTCCTCCCAGGCCCTTCCTGGCTCAGCCGCCTCATTGGGCAGGCCATGAGGGGTGGGAGTGGGGCTCTGGGAGGTTTCTCCTGCTTGCCTGCTTCAGTGGGCGAGCAGGAGAAGCAATGGGGAGGCTTTTAAATGCCTCCCCACTCCCTCCTGGGCCCTTCCTGGCTCAGCTGCCTTGGTGGGTGGGCCATGAGGGGCGACCTGAATATACTAGGATGAATGTGAAATCATCCCCATAGAGAAGCTATGTTAAGCTTCAGACTTCGGCAGGGATTCGCGCCGAAGACTTTGTGGCCAATCACATTTGAACTGTATGTAAGCGGGAAAGCTTATGATTGGTCTGTTATGCGATCAACCTGATAGGTTGAAATATGTATAGTAGGTGTGGCTACATTAGCCCGGAATGTTTAAATACCGAGCAGCTGCAATG